AATAACTTCCCAGAGTTCAGACAAGACCCTAGCATGCTACGCGGATGACACCATCATCGCGAAGTCCAGACGACCAAACCACGCCTTGGAAAAGATTCAGCAGATTATTCCTGATATTGAAGCATGGTATCAACGATGGAAAATTCAGATCAACCAGGAGAAGTCAAAAGTTTTAGTTATCAGAAAATTCCCTCACCTGTAATGTTACACTTCGGGAAAACAGTCCCTGGTGTAAATACGGCAAAATACCTAGGAGTCATTTTAAATCGATCGTTTACCTGGAATGCACACATAAACAGTGTGTGTGGAAAAGCGTACGTCATTGTGAAAAAGCTTTACCCACTATTTTCTAAGGACTCTGGATTAAACCTTGCACGCAAACGAAAGCTTTACACTGCAACTGTCAGGCCTGTTATCACATATGCGTCCCCGGCCTGGGCAAGTGCTAAGGCAAGTGAAATTATCACCTTTCAAGGATGTGGCACATATATTACCAGTTAAATCATTAAATGCTGAGGATCAGTATCAATATCTTAAGAAAATTATAATTGGTTTAGAAAATATAGGTTATAGAATTGTGGCAGTTGTCTCTGACAATAATTCAATAAATAAAAAAGCCATGTCATTATTTTGTATGCCTCCAAAAATTAGTATTGTGTATAAAAACCCTGCAGACTTATCTCGGCCACTATTTTTTGTTATTGACTCAGTGCACATCTTGAAGTGTGTCAGGAACAACTGGATAAATCAAAAAACTTCTGGGCAATGTTTATTTTATCCAAATTTTGAAAATTTTGATATGGACAGATACTGACTGTTTAACATTCAGATGACTTGAAATATTGAAGAAGGCATTTCCTTGCCTTTAAATTGTCATGCGTAAAAAGGTTCTCGTTTTTGTGTTTTAGCGCAGCCACTACTTTATCATTGGGTATAAGTTTGGTGTTGACATATGGTAAAATGCTTTCTCCTGATAAAAGTTATGTTTCAGCATGCTTACCGAATGATATGTATATAATAACTGCCACTGTTATATGGTAATGGGTCATTATAATTTTGTTGATATGAACATATACTGACTGTTTTATATTTAGATGACTTGAAATATTGAAGAAGGCATGTCCTTTTTTTAATTTGTCATCGCGTAAAAAAGTATCTCGGTTTGTGTTTTAGTGCGGCCACTACTTTTATCATTTGGGTATAAGTTTGGTGTTGACATATGGTAAAATGCTTTCTCCTGATAAAAGTGATGTTTCAGCATGCTTACCGAATGATATGTATATATAATAACTGCCACTGTTATACTGGTAATGGGTCATTAAATTTTGTTGATATGAAACATATACTGACTGTTTTATATTTAGATGACTTGAAATATTGAAGAAGGCATGTCCTTTTTTACTTCCTTGTACGAAGTAAAAAGGAAGTATTGTAATCGCGAAAAGTTTCAGGCAGCATATTTCACCGAAAATATCCATTTTGACCGCTATCGAATGCAATTTAACGATGTTTTTGCACCATATCTGTACGTAAGGACAGAATAAAATACTCTTTTCCTTCAAAAAAATTATAAAACTGCTTAAAAAAAAAAACTTAACTAAAATTAATTCTGAAGAGAATTTTTCGTGGCTTCTGTACGAACGTATGTACGTACGTTCGTGCGTACGTACATATCTCACATAACTCAAAAACGAGTAGCCTCAGAACGTTGAAATTTTGTATATAGGACTGCTATAAACATGTATATGTGCACCTCGTATTTGGTTGCAATCGGCCACACCAAACGTATATAAATATATTTATATCTATATCCACTCTATGACTTGAATATTGAAGAAGGAATTTCCTTGCCTTGTAATTTGTCATCGCATAAAAAAGTGTCTGGGTTATGTTTAAAGTGGCCACTACTCTTATCATTTCGATATAATTTTTGTGTTAACATGTGGTAAAATGTTTTATCAAGGTAACAGTTATATGTTTCCAGCATGCTTAGAAAATCGTATGTTTATAATAGCTCCTGCTATTATACTAGGAATGGGTCATTATACATTTGTTCATACGGACATACACTGCCTGTTTTATATTCAGATCACTTGAAAAGTGATAATATTGAAAAATTAATTTTTGTGCTGTTGAGTGTTTGCTGCATAAACTGGTATCTGGCTTGTGTTTAAATGGCTACCACTTGATGTTTATTAAGTGGTTATCATTTGGTGTTAACATACTGTAAAATGCTTTCTCATGGTAAAAGTTATGTGTTTCAGCATCCTTACAAGATGACAAGTTTATGGTAACTGCTGCTTTTATACTGAGAATGGGTCATTATAATTTATATTTTTTTTATATGGGCATGTACTGACTGTTTTACACTTAAAAATATTGGAAAATTCATTTCTTGTCTTTAATTTGTTGTTGTGTAAAAAAGGGTCTATGTTGTGTCTTTAAGTGGCATTACTTATATCATTTGAGTATAATTTTCATGTTACCATATGATAAAATTACTTTATCAGATAACAGTTATGTGTTTCAGCATGGTGACAAAATAACAGGTTTTGTAATAACTCCTACTATTATTCTGGGAAATTGCTGAATAAAGGGTGTCTCTGATTAGGAGCACTCATTTCACAAACCTGTGATTTTCATCTGCATTTTGAAATTACCGGTGTCCCATAATTAAGACTGGTGGCTTTCTGGACAAATCATTTTGATATATTCTTTGCTTAAATTAAACAAGCCTGATAGCGAGTAACTTAGAAGATCACGATTTTAGCTTGGAAAAATTACAACAAAATTGTGTTGCATGTAGTGACCAGATACTTTCAAATTGGATACTGGTGCATAGGTAAAAACATTTTTATTATTTTCTATATTTGAAACATTAACTGATAATCACTTCCTTTACACAACATCAATAAATGTTTTACATATACTGGTGATGCTTGACATCCACTTGTTGTTGAATGCTTTATAAAGCCACCTTATAATGTACTTTCATAAATAATAACAGCCATCGTTATACAATTTAATATCATTTGTGCCCTGAAGTGTTTTAAATGGTAATGGACAGTCTTTCTCAAGAATTTGCCCGATATTATCCATATTATGGCAAGTATCGTAATACATTTTGAAACTTTACTTGATCTCTCATGCAAAAAGTTAATAATGGTGTTTCAAATTGCCAGACAAAATGGGTTGAAATTTAACGAATTAGAAACTTGAAGCTTGCAAGTATCAAAATTTAAATATTTAAGGTCACATAGTCTCATCTTATAGCCTCTGACAAGACCCAGGTTACATATAGCAAGCAGTTTTTGAAAATTTTCACACCTATTAATAAATAAGAATTGATGAGATTTCTCTAGTATCGGCAATATGCTTAATGAGATTTGTGCCTTCAATTTTTCACAAGAACTCATTTTTCACATTTGCTTTGAATAATTTATTGGAATAAAAACAGATCAGCTGGTTTTTTAACTTATTTGTATGTTATAACTTAGGTGTTGTGTTGTTATGCTGACTGCTTGCATAAAATTGTAAATAAAATTTTTTTATTTTTCACTTGTGAATCTTTATTTTCAAGTTCAGCTATATAACTAACACAATACAGTTTTAAGTACATATACAACTAATATTATTGGTTCTACAGATTTTAAGCAATAATTTTAAATTGCACATTGAATTATTTGCTAAGCAAAAACCTCTGATATACTAATTTATTTGAAACTTGCAAGACACATAGCATATTATAGACAAAATTTAGTGCATTTTTATACCATTTTCTTTTAAAGACAAATTTACTGATTGGAAGAAAAATGAAATGATAAGTAATAGTTTGTATGCAGATAATTTGGGGTTTTTTTCATAAATATTAGAAAATATAAAGCAATATTAAATTATGAGGGAAAAGTCAGAAATTCCTTTTTTGAGTTAGTATGGCTGATTTTTAACTTTTTAAATGCTGCTGTGAAACCTACAAGGAAGTATAACTCATTAAAGTCAAGAAATAAGAAACAAAAAAATTCTTAAATTTAGGTCAAATTTTATTGTGTTAAATTTTGAAGTAATTAAATTATTCATTATATATAATTGAATCTCTGAATAAAATCCCACCCAAGTATCTATATCAAATAGTGAAATCAACGTTAAGTACGGCACTAGCGCGCAGCCTGTTTTGTTTCGTTGCTCTCTCGGGGTTTCGACATAGACGACTACGCGTGACGTCACAATCCAGTGTCCCGGCTTCCTTCTATAAGGAGGTGTTGGCCGTATCCTTTTTTCTCCCCTCAGAGGAAACTCAATCAGGAATTTTCTAATACCAGGCTCCGCATGAAACTCTTTGCATGATTGGGAAGTATTGCTCCGACAACAGAAAACCCAGTACAATACAGTATATAGCAGTATCGCACTAGGTTTGGAAATACACGTCCGTGACGTAATACTACATAGCAATGATACTTTCTTTAACAGTATAAATGAATGTAATTTTGTTTTCCACAAACATAACATCCTAGCAATTCAACAACCAGTACTCCCGTGGTTCCTTCTTAGCAGTCATTTTGGCCTTTTTACATCACTTATTATCTTCTGGTAAGTAAATTGGTTCTCCAAAACGAATCGAAAATTTATTTCATACTTTGCCGTTTTGTTATTTGGCATTCTATCGAATGCTTATGAAATGTGTGAAATCTGAATTGTTTTAGGCATTATATACAAAGCCTAAGCATTGCCTAGGCACAGAATGCGGAATTTCACAGTGGATCGTAGCTTTACTTCTGCTGTCTACTATTGAGAGTATTAACCCCTAAGTTAAATTTTAATTACCAGTGGCCATAGTTCTTAATATTTTAAGGATACATATTTATGTATCTCACCCGAAGGAGATTAATTTAATGTTGCCGGCAACATATATAAACTGGAAGATGTCTACTAGTACCCCCTAGCGGCTGACTGAAAAAATTTATAGTTTTTTGTTTATTTTTGCATCAGTGTAACATGTAGATGTTGCGATGGGTTCGTCAAATTAAAGTCATGTGTTTAGTTGCGCTATTATTCGTAAACTGAGAAGTTTGGTTATTTTTTGTTAGCTATTGAAGACGTAACGATAGATGAATAACGTAAATGTCATAAACCCGGTGGTAAACACTAATATTTTTGGAAAAAGTATATTATTTTCTTGGGTTTTGTAGAGAATTATTTTGATAAGGCCATTCCTCCTTGATTTTGTTACTAGAGGTAATTTCCCCACTTTTTCAACTATTGTGATAAAATTAACAGTATTTTCTTTTAATATTTATTGATATAGAAAGTCTGATCGTAAATAGATGTAGAGCATATCGATAAATTTATGCCCGAAATGTTTGGAAGCTATATTTAATGCTTGTATCAGTCGATAAATTTACGCCCGAAATGTTTGGAAGCTATATTTAATGCTTATATCAGTCCATGAATTTATTTTTTGAAGGTATACTTTATAATTCTTTCAGTATTTTCCATTAAAATAAGTTTGTCATGTTTCTTATTTCCGAGAATTTGAAGTTTCCGACTTATAAATAAAAAATTTGATTTTTACTGAAAAAAATGCAAACTGAAATATTTGCATTTGCAAAACAGTTTTATTGCATATGCATAGAGATTTATAATCTAAAATATTTTGCATGCACTGAATGATGATGCAAATGTGGAAGTCAAATAAAAGAAAATCTCATCTAATTCATTACAAAGCATTAAAATGCACATATGACATATCTTTAGCCCAGAAAGCATAGTTGCCGGCATAAGAAAGAAAGGCTGAGAAATACTATAAGAAAATAAAAAAAAATATATAGTATTTATTGGTAGTATAAAAAATTATTAGAGGAATTTTGGATATAAGCATAAATACTTTATTTTGTTTTATGCTTTGTTGTTGTTTTTATTTACTTCTGATAATAGACTTAAGATTGCAAGGCGATTTGAGATCATAGATATGAGGTTGTAGTGCGAAGAAAGTTTTACAGAAATGTTATACGTAACTTGAAAAAAACAGTTCTGTATTTGACTGATTTAATTTGTACAGTTAATCTAATAAATCACTTATAGTATTCAATGAAAGGTGCATTGCTTGCCATAAAGCTTAATATTCTTTTCTGTTAAGTGTATCGCATACTATCTAGCATCGTTTTTAAGAACTTTAATTGGATTGGATTATACTGACAAATCAAGCACATAAGGATGGGTGAAGTGCAGAATCACCTACTATTTGGCTGCATTTTATTTGGCACTTTTTATAAGAGTAAGAAGAACTGGATTTTTGTCAATTTTTTATGACTTTTTAAGTGAAAATAGATCAATGTGTGCATTGACAAAGTAAAAGGAGTGTGCATTGCTGAGATTGCTCATTTCTCTGATTCTTTTTTAAGTGAAAATAGGTTGATGTGTACATGGATACGGAGTTTGTGCAATTCTTAAAAACGTGCCAAGCGGTGGATAATTTTTCACTTTCCCTCATAATGACTATCTGAGGCATGTACATATCACAACCACCTTGTAAAGTATATTATTTTCTTGGGTTTTGATTGGGTGAAAGTCACTAAACTGTGGCAACCATGCACAAAACAGTTCTTTAGGTACCATATCCTTGTAAGTTGCAATCCAAAAATTCAATGAATCACCTTTATTTGAAAAATTGGCAGACTGCGCCAAAGTGGCTAATACATAAGTACCTTATCTGCTTCCTGAACTCCATTGAATTTTGACTGAAGAGCTCCTTTGGGAAAGTGCAGAATTGCCCGCTGCTTGCCGCGTTTTTAAGAATTGCACATACTCAGTATCCATGTATACATCGACCTATTTTCCCTTGAAAAAACATCCCAAAATTGCACAAAAATGGCATTGCGCACTCCCTCGACTTTATCCATGTACACATCAACCTATTTTCGCTTAAAAAGTCAAAGAAAATTGACAAAAATTAATTCTTACTCTTGTAAAAAGCGGCAAACAAAAAAGTAGGCGATTCTGCACTTTACCCGGCTCCTATATTATGGAATCCAAAGATTAGCGATTAGAGATTTGATACAGACTTGGGTATGGTATTGCATATCATTATTTGAGTAGTTTTAAATTTGAAATTTAGAAATTATTTATCATTGTAGCAATTGTTTATCAATGTAGTATGTACTGCCCATTGTTTATTGCTATAATTATATTTTAAATGAACTACAGAAAATTTAATTTTATCTAATCCTCACTTCTTATTTAATGATGGAGAATAAATTGCGTATGGGACTGAGTGGAGCTAAAACTGTCTGTTAAAGGATTATGTGATGATAATAGCAAAGAAAGTATTGTTGAATTTGATTGTGAGTGACATTGTGAAGTGCTTGATGTTTTTAAACAAATGGTAAACACTATATCATTTAGTGAAATTGTAAGCATGATTAGTAAAACTGCCATTTATTTAAACTCATCTCTGCTGTCTATAAAACTTAAACTGGCGAATGTTTGATTATTCAGGTATGGAATAAACTGTTTGTAGTTCATTCATTCATCTTTAAGTTATGTAATACTTCAATGAAATGAGTTTAACAGAAATTTCGGCCAGTGTAGTTAGAATCAAGAACCTTGGGGTGTTGGATACACTTCAGACACTGTTTGCAAATCTCTTTGTCCAGACTAGAGCTAAGAGCAGTAGAATACCTTTTCTTATGATTAACAAAAGCAGTTTTCTAAAGTTGTTGAAAACAAGTTCCTTGATTATAAATGAATGAGAGTTTCCTAGGATTAAAGCACACTTAATTTGCATATTTCAGAATACTATGCCTTGTTAATTTATAATAAAATAATATGGTATTCATGTATTTGGTTTCTTAGTATTTCATAAAGCTAATTGATATCATAAAAAGTGATATTAAATACTGACTTTTCTGCCATCAAGTAAGCCTTAGTTTATAGGTAGTTTTTTTTTCAAGAATTCATTTAAAGCTCAGTGGGTTGATCTTTGGATTATGGTAACTTGGCGATTTTTTGGCGAAAATTTGGCGACCAAACTCTGCTACAGCAACCCTCTATTTTTTTTTCGCCGCCATTTTGTCTTCACGAAGTAAAGACATGTTCTTTTTCTTTTATTTACTGAACACTTTTTCCAACAATCTACTAGCCGAATTACACTTATGCTAGAAATTTTATGTAAAAACGCTTAATCATGACAAATATTAACTGCAAATTGGGAAAAAGTGCACAATCGCAAACTCCTTGCGCGTTTTTTCAGAATAGCACATACACATAAACCATTTACACGTCGACTTATTTTTACTTAAAAAAACATCCCAGAATTGCACAAAAATGGCATTGCACACACTCTTAACTTATCCATCTACACTGCTATTTTCTCATAAATTACAAAAATTTGCACGAAAATGCAAAGAAATTCTGTGAATCTTTAAACTCAAAAAAGCACATATATGAGAAAAAAAAAAAAAACAAAATATATGAAATTACCTGATCGCGAAAAAGTATATACCCTTTCCAAGAATGAACATTTCCACGTATAAAATAAATAAAATATCCAAAAACTTTCACCTCTAAATTATCTATTATATTATAAACATCACCAATGAATTCATACTGCAAACATTACAAATGGTTACAAATACTTAGTATCAAATATTTAAATTATTTCCATGCACGTTTACTTCAACTGAAACGTATACTAAATTTCTACAAACATAAAATTCACAAAATAACTATCATTTAATTAAAATATCACTAAACCATGTACACGTCGACTTATTTTTACTTAAAAAAACATCCCAGAATTGCAAAAAAATGGCATTGCGCACACTCTTCACTATATCCATTGTACACTGCTTTTTTCTCATAAATTAGAAAAATTTCACGAAAATGCATGAAAATTCTGTGAAATCTTTAAATCCCGGTAAAAAGAACATATATGAAATTACCTGATCGCAAAAAAAGTATATACCCTTTTCCAAAGTGAACATTTCACCTATAAAATAAATAAAATATCCAAAAAACTTTTACCTCTAATTATCTATTATTATAAACGTCACCAACGAATTCATACCTCAAAACATTACAAATGGTTACAAATACTTAGTGTCAAATATTTAAATTATTTCCATACATGTTACTTCCACTGAAACGTATACCAAATTCGTACAAACATATAATCACAAAATAACTATCATTTAATTTAAAATATAATTAAATTCAAAAACACTACTTAAAATATAAAAATCATGCTAATAACAATTTTCCAATAATACCATATTATTTTATTTACTCCTTACATTTAGAACAATGCATAAAATAATATCCTCAAATAATTAAAATACTAACTTACCTATCTTCTTCAGAATCTTGACTACGTGTCGATAAACTTTTCTTGTTTCCTCCACTAAATAAAAAGCAAGCGTATGTGCGCCTGTTCAGGATCTTTAAAATATACTTATAGTTCACAGCAAGGTACCGGTAAAATAAATAACTAATTAAAAACATCTTTACTTCTATCTTGCACAACCTTAAAGAAACACTTTTACTACCCCTTTCAATCCCACAAAAAATACCCATTTCGAAATTCACTTTAGTTAGGGCCATGGGATCCAAAAATTAACGAACACTGTTTCACACAACACAGAATAAAGCTAAATACAAAATTTCCAATTTTTTCCCGATTTCCCCCCTTTTCCGATTAAAGAACTGTAATTCGTCCGTTAATGTCACATGACATATCTCATGATCTCATTTCCCACCACAAAATAATGCGTAATCGGAACTGAGTACTTCTCACATTATAACCAAAGTCCTAGGTAGTAACCTTTATCGCCTCCAAAATGTCGCCAAACTACCAGTTACCATATTCCAAAGATCAGCCGCTCAGGGATTCGTGGATTAATTTTCAGCACATTCTTTATAGAATTTCAAAAATTAGTGCTGTATTTGCATAATAATAAGAAACCTATTTTTGCTAAGTTTTTGTTCTAAAATTTGGTCGGATCTTATAATCAGATATTTTGATAAAGGAAATTCCAGAATGAGAGGAGTTAAATTATCATATTATGGAGAGTAATTAAACTGTTAAAATATTTGGTAAATTAAGTGGATAATCGCCAAATATAGAAACTCTGTAACTACCATTAATTATAATGGCCACATTTAGCTGTGGAATTTCAATTTAGGCCTGTATCCACTATGCTGGTCATTGGTATGTCACTCATGGCAACAAAGTTGGCTAT